GTTTCAGGAAAGATATAACAATATTCTGATGTAAATCAACTAATTAATGTTTCAGGAAAGATATAACAACACTTGGATGTAAATCAACTATTTAATGTTTTCGGAAAGATACAACAACACTTGGATGTAAATCAGCTATTTAATGTTTCAAGAGGGGTATTACAACATTTGGATGTAAATCAGCTATTTAATGTTTCAATAGGGATATAACAACATTGGGATGTAAATTAGCTATTTAATGTTTGAGGGAAAATATAACAACATTTGGATGTAAATCAGCTATTTAGTATTTTCGGAAAAATATAACAACATTGGGATGTAAATCAACTATTTAATGTTTTCGGAAAGATACAACAACATTCGGATGTAAATCAGCTATTTAATGTTTCAGGAAAGATATAACAACACTTGGATGTAAATCAGCTATTTAATGTTTCAAGAGGGATATTACAACATTTGGATGTAAATCAACTATTTAATGTTTCAATAGGGATATAACAACATTGGGATGTAAATTAACTATTTAATGTTTGAGCAAAAATATAACAACATTTGGATGTAAGTCAGCTATTTAGTATTTTCGGAAAAATATAACAACATTAGGATGTAAATCAACTATTTAATGTTTCAGGAAAGATATAACAACATTCGGATGTAAATCAACTATTTAATGTTTCAGGAAAGATATAACAACATTGGGATGTAAATCAACTATTTAATGTTTTCGGAAAGATACAACAACACTTGGATGTAAATCAGCTATTTAATGTTTCAAGAGGGATATTACAACATTTGGATGTAAATCAGCTATTTAATGTTTCAATAGGGATATAACAACATTGGGATGTAAATCAACTATTTAATGTTTGAGGTAAAATAGAACAACATTTGGATGTAAATCAGCTATTTAGTATTTTCGAGAAAATATAACAACATTTGAATGTAAATCAACTATTTAATGTTTCAAGAGAGATATAATAACATTTGGATGTAAATCAACTATTTAATGCTTCAGGAGGGATATTCAGGATTTGTTGACATCAATGTTAGGTTGACTGTGTTTTTATTTTAAATTAATTCTACGTAGAAAGGTTTTTTTTATCTTTTTTTTTTCCTATTCCGTTCATATCCCACTATGTTTGTGTTATTTCGTTTAATTATATGATCTTCGTCTCTGATACGATGTATCACTGTATTACACAGTGTTGCATGTCTATTGTGCTCCTTAATTTTGAATTTAGTTTGTGTTTTTGTTGTTCCATGTTATTGGACCCACATTCACAGAACATGTTGTAAATAATGTTTTTACTGCTCCATCTTATTGGACCCACATCCACAGAGCATGTCGTAAATGGTGTTTTTGTTGCTTCATCTTATTGGACCCACATTCACAGAGCATATTGTAAATAATGTTTTTACTGCTCCATCTTATTGGACCCACATCCACAGAGCATGTTGTAAATGGTGATTTTGCTGCTCCATTTTATTAGACCCTCATCCACATAGCATGTTGTAAATGTTCTTTTTTCTGCTCCATCTTATTGGACCAACATTCACAGAGCATGTCGTAAATGGTGTTTTTGTTGCTCCATCTTAATAGACCCACATTCACAGAGCATGTTGTAAATGGTGTTTTTGTGTATCCATTGCATCTTTAGACCGTTTCTGAATACTTTATTGGCTTTAACCTCTTCAGAGTGATCCTGTACATAAGGGATATGTCTGTGTGTCTGAAATTTTCTTCTTGCTTATACTTGTCACACGTCTTCATTATTTTATTCTTTATCAAGTGTTCAGGATACCCACTGTCAACGAACAATTGTAATAATGTACTTTTCTTTTTCTTAGCATCTTCCATATTACAAATCCTGTTCATTCTGGAGACTAGGCAGTCCATGAAGTACGCATTTATACTGTTGGAGTGTTTGATGTGTAATCGAGATATTTACACGTTTCTAAGTGTTTCTTGTAAACACCTGTAATTTATGACTTATGTGATTTAGTGATTGTTACAAATAGAAATGAGAGCTTGTTATATATTTGTTTTATTTGTGTCGCGAAATGTGTCATTTGACATTGTCTGCACAGATGGTTCATAAATTCTGGAATCTTGAGATGAAATAGCCACACACACTACAGCAAGTTGACTTTGTGATGTCGCTGACCTGATACTCACGAGGTTAATGGAATTTTCACAGCGAAGTTTGAATTAAGAATGGATCATCTAGAATAGATTATAACACTTCCCACATCACTTGAGGATTTGTTTTTTTCAAAGAGATCAAGTCTGAACTTCAAAGTTTTTGCAGTTGGATGTTATTCTGCGTAAATGCATTTGTAAAGTTAAAGTTTGAGTTATATCTGTTCTTATGTATTTCTAATAATTTTGCCGTGGGGGCATTATAATGTGACGGTCAACCCAACTGTTCGTTTATAACAGAGTAGCCGAAAAGTTGGCGTTGGGTGATACTGCTGCCTTCCCTCTATTCTATCACTGCTAAATTGGGGACGGCTAGTGCAGATAGCCCTCGAGTAGCTTTGCGCGAAATTCAAAAAACAAGCAAACAGTCTTATTGCGACCGAAATGTCAAAAATGTACCTGACCCTCCCAGGTCCTCAACGACCTAAAACGCTGTGCCGAACGCATGCGACAGAAACCCCGATGCCGACCGAAGCGCGATCTCTAGTGAGAATTTAAAACAAAGTATGATCTGTAACAATATAACACTCGCCACGCACTTGGTCAAGTATGCTTACTTGATTTCCTGTTCGTCAATAAATATGTAGGTCATACATATTGTTGAACTTAAATTCATATACATAAGTTCATTGTTATAGCTATTAATGACCTATATGGTGATATTGTTCTCTTATTATTATTATTATATTAATAATATAATTAATTCTATTAATATTATTATTATATGGTAATATTGTTCCATTATTATTATTATTATTATATTAATAATATAATTAATTCTATTAATATTATTATTATATGGTAATATTGTTCCATTATTATTATTATTATTATATTAATAATATAATTAATTCTATTAATATTATTATCATATGGTGATATTGTTGTATCACATTTTAGAAAACTAAAATATTGCATTTAAAATATTATAAAAATCAATCACACCTAAATTTCTTGAACGATTGCAAAATTAACAATTTACACCTAATTTACACCTAATTCCATTAATATTGAAGTAGTTATAAAAAAATCCTACGAGACAAAGCAATATCAAAAACATATATCGATTTTTGAAAATAAAAATGAAATATAAGTAAATTTATAAAAGAAAAACACAATTTAAAGAGGTCTTTTCACAGTTAGAAAGGTAAGTCATTCATATCTATTATATAATCTCATAAACACGACATAATAAATTATTAATCAAAACAAGACAAAAACATTACGTTTTGAAAAAAATAGGAATGAAATTGCTAGTAGATTGAAGATTGTAATTCCTTTTTCAAAAACTTAAATTTGAAAATTATCTTTTGCCTTTTGAATAGTTGTTACAAGTTTCAAAACAGAAAATACGGTAGGATAGTAAATAATTTTGATAATAATTGAACACAAGTACATAGAATAACTTTGCCATATTTCGATAACTCTTAGTATAAACCATATAAATAGTAACTGAAAGTTAGTAGCAATAAGAAATCTTAGTAGAAACGATAAAATTGCTATACTGAAATCTGATAAAGGCAGTTGAATGGCTCTTCTGAATGAAACAGGCCATATTTATAAAATTCACGTTACTTTGTATGATGCTGGAAAAGTTAGTTAGAAATAGAATTATTTATGAAATTTAAAAACAAATGATAATTTATTAACACAAAAAGAATATGCAAGGATAGGACTGTCAATGATATTTTATATGGAGTTCCTAAGCTACAAAAAGAAGAAAGTCCAGTTAGACGTTTAGTTTCTAATATAGATACATGTAGTCTATAGTATCTTAGTAAAATTATTGGAACAAAGATTATACATAGACGTTGAATATCCAATAAAAACAGTTGCATAATGAAATGCATAATGTTTACCGTGCAAGCTTTGAGGTCAGATTTTTTATCATTAATATTCCTTTAGAAGAGAAGCCCGGCATGGTCAGGTAGTTAGGGCACTTGACTCGCAATCCCCGTCCCACCAAACATGCTCGTCCTTTCAGCCGTGGGGGCGTTATAATGTGACGGTCAATCCCACTATTCGTTGGTAAAAGAGTAGCCCAAGAGTTGGCGGTGGGTGGTGATGACTAGCTGCCTTCCCTCTAGTCTTTAACTAGCTAAATTAGAGACGGCTAGCGCAGATAGTCCTCGTGTAGATTTGTGCGAAATTCAAAACAAACCAATCCTTTACAAGAGACTTTACAATTAACAAAGGTACTTTTATATCAGAATGAAAATGTTATAATAAGATTCACAAAGCATTTTTTTTCAGAAGTTATTGAAGTTTACCGCTAAAGAATATATTTTTTTATTTAGCATCATTATGTATGATCAAACTGGTAGACTCGCAAAGGATTGCTATTAAAGTTACCACCATCGCTTATCGAATTCCTTTGCTATTACGAAACACAAAGATCAGAATATTGTGTTTCGAGTTTCAATCCTATGTTCCATAGAAGGTATGGTAAAGATAAGGTATGTTATTTTTGAATGACTTTAAAACGTAAAACGGGTTTTACATTCTTAATGCTCAGCACAAAAAAATATAAAATAAATATTAAAACCTCGACTTGCTTTTTTTTTTTACTTTTCTTTATACAAGAATGAATAATAATAACGTCATGCTTGACTGTGAAGTGTATCACGAGAAAAAATAATTCTTACAGGTTCGTGTCTTCATTTTTACAGTTTTATTTCAGATAAATATATAAAAGTCTAGTTAAAATAATAATACATCGCGCTAGCATATATAATTTTTTTATAAGGAACTAACAAATGTTTAAATGCTTTTTAAATAAAAATGTTTTTTCAATTAATATGGTTGATAAAATCATAGATAGTTATTTGAATAAAATAAAAAGCCTTATACAGGCAAACACATATCACAAAATTGTGTAAACTGTTGCAGCGAACTTGTTCGGATATTGATTTTAAGAGCAGTTGTTAAACCTGAAAATAGAATACAAAAGTATAAAGAGAATTTCATACTTAAGAAAACATCTATAGTGATATGTGAACTTAAATGCCTTTGATGTAATTCTACGGTATATAAGTTTAACCATTATATGGATGGAAACATCATAAGAAGCATGTTTCGTGATGAGCAACAAATCGAACATACGAAATAATGCACTTGACAAAGGTGAACTAGTTATACATTAAAATTTGTTTATAATTCTCGCTAGAAGACGTGATGAAAGAAATTTATGGATAAGAAATATTGCTGATTAAAAGCTAAAGCCAAAGCTAAATGAAACGAGTTAAGTTACTCGTGAGCGTGTAGAAACAATTTTCACTTAGTCTGGTATGTTCTTATTAGCATTGTTACAAGTTTCATAACTTAAACATTTTCTGTGCACATCCTGCGAATCTACCGACATTGTGGGTTTTCCATTGGATCTGTTACTTTACCACAGTTGTTAATTTTTTTTTCACATTTATTTTACAACTATTAGAGTATGACAAAATAAAATAATATTGTTGTGGTCAGTATTTTGTTAGCACTGTTCTTTATATCTGTATCATTGCAGTCGTTTGAAGATTGAGTTAATCTGTTTTATAACTAGCTGTCATATTGCTATGGTAACCCAGCATCAGAGGATACAGAGAAAAACTGGTATCAAGAGTGATAAGGAAAATGTATGAAAAAGCACGGTGATAAAAGATTGTAATGTCAAAATGAGCTGCAGAAAATTTTTATTTTCCGTATTCTAGTGATATTTTACTATATATATTTGTGTCTGTCTGTCATTTGTGTAAATCAAGTACTGTTGTACACGTTAGTGGTGTAAACATGAATTTTACTTGAATTTGTAAAGTCTTTGGGAAGAGAAAAAAAGAACATTGTACAGGAAAGGTTTCATACCAAGAAAATGTTTGAGAAAAAGTATTTTTAAGCATTTTAGTAACGAATTCTTACCTTGATTGGTTTTCTGTTTTTAAGCAAGATATGCTATTTAAGGGGTTTTGAGTCGTTTTACTTCATCATATAGTAAAAATTAATTCAGGTATGTGAATAATATTATGACATTTCGTCGAATTCATTATTCCTTTAGAACGAACAACAACAAAAACTCTTGCAATACATAATGGAATCTCACTTCATTGAATATTGTTTAACTGGCCTTGTCCCTTTTGTTTAAGATTTTTATCTATAGAATGTATTTTTTTTAACATGATATGCTTTATTCTATGCAATAGAAGGAATATATATTTATATGATAAAACGAGTTTGGGTGTTGCTAGTGTTGGTCCATATTTGGAGATCTTCAGTACTTTAATTTGGCATTGGATTGAAGAAACGGAGGGATGAATGGACATTTGACAGAAAACCACCAGTTGCACACTTGATGCCTCTGATCAAACACTGTCCCGTTCGGACACAAGAAACTGTTCATCCTGTCATCTTGACAGATGTGGTACATCTGAAAGAGAGAGTGAAAATCAGAAGACAATGAGAACATTGAAGTTAAAATATCACCAGATTTACAATGAATTGGTTTAAATAAAGGTTTCAATGTACGCATTTTTTTTTAACTGCGAGGTTTTATTTAGAATGTTATAAGTGTTAATATGGTTTTTTTATTACAGCTACAAGGTCTATTGAGATCTTGTACTGACATCAAAGAGTCGTGTGGTCTGTAGTTTACTCCAACATAGTGAACATAAGGTGCTTAAATTCGTCTTAAGTGAAAACCAATTCAACACCGAGACCTGAACCCTTGAAGCGGTGATATGTTACTCATGAGTGTAGTGGCTGAGTTCTTCTCTATTCATCACAAGTTACCTATGAGCACCAGTGAGCTGATGTCAAAGGTGTGAGAATAGAGAGAGAAAAATTTTACATGTTTGAAATTACCTTATGTTAGTTATTTAACTTACTTTTGTATAGTCATTTGAAAAATATGTAACATTAACATTAACAATAATTTAATCTTCAAAATTATTTAAGCTGTATAAGATAAATTATTATTTTTTCATATAATATCAAAATTTCGGCGAGAAAGGAACTTTGGATCTAGTCTATTTTGGGTTTCGCCAATTATCACTGCGTTAGATGGATTCTGGAAATTCCCTTCCTCATCAGTAACATTTTCAACTAATTAGTTCAAATGAATAAATACACCTGTATCATTAATGTTTCATATGTATGAATATAGGTTACTGTGGTAAGTAAAGAACTAAACTTGTGATTATAGATAGTATATTTAGGGTGTTATATGGTGGATTTTAACCATTATAACTATAAAACTTGTGATTATAGATAGTATATTTAGGGTGTTATATGGTGGATTTTAACCATTATAACTATAAAACTTGTGATTATAGATAGTATATTTAGGGTGTTATATGGTAGATTTTAACCATTATAACCATAAAACTTGTGATTATAGATAGTATATTTAGGGTGTTATATGGTGGATTTTAACCATTATAACCATAGTTTTCTTTCCTAATGTATCCCTATATAATAGTTTTAAAATAAAACAAAGGTAACTATGAGACAAAGTCCTTCACCAGTTACATCATGTGCTATAGAGGTTATGCAGTCACGTGACTGAAGACGGAACTAGTTTTACCATCTGCCATTTTGGACGTAAACATGACGACTTCCCCAACTATAACCTTACATTGTGCACAGGAAAACTTTACGTTTAGCGCTTTGATTGGCGTTTTATGGCGCAAAGCAACTAGGTATCTGCGCTTAGCGCTTTGACAAAGGATTTAGATGAACTGTCTAAACATCGGTACAAGGTAAAATGTCAACAATTTGGAAAGGCTATGATGGTCTCGTACTCTATTCCCCCGGCAATGACCATAAGTCTAGCTGTCGCTTCATTAGTCACGTTAACAAAGAGAGACACAGTTATGAACATTTCCGACATGGAATGCCCAGATATTTTCAGTTATCTAGTTTTTAATTACAGTGCCTCATATCGAAGGCATACAAAGTTTAGATGCTTTGTGACAGGCTGCGTTCACAGTGTCAGACTGTGGAAGGCATATACGTTGTCAGTTTTTGTAACCTACTTGAACTGGTACAAAAACTGCTAAACTGGACCCAGATGAGTTCTAATTAATCATCTTTATTTCCTTAGCAGTATTTCATGTGTGTTAACGATTGATATTGTTCTAAAGTTAAAGAGAATCGACTTGTTTGTGAGGTTGTTTGCTAATGTTACTTACGTTTACTAGAACTATTAAGCCTAGAATTTAGATCTAATTGTTTAACGACATAGGGCATGGATTCTAACGTTACGTTAAATCTACATTTGTATTCTATAGGCCCTATACTAGTAAAGTGTTTAAAGCATGATTCTATCCAAATATTCACATTTTTCATGAAACAAGCATCAGCTACAGGCTCCTAAATATACTTCTAGTTTCTGAGATAATAAGGCCCGGCATGGCCAGGTGGTTAGGACGCTCGACTCGCAATCTGCGGGTCGCGAGTTCGAATCCCCGTCACACCAAACATGCTCGTCC